TTTTTTTTTTTTTTTTTAATTGGCCATTAGTTTCCCACTTTTGGATTAGAAGAAATAGATATTTTGGAGAAAAAAAAAATCTCAATTTGCAGCCGACATCAATTTCTTTTTCAGGTATAAAATAAATTGTGTGATTTTCAATATTGTTTGGTTTATATTGTATAAAAAGTATAGCTATTTTGCGTGATTTATATTAAAAAATTACTTCTTTTTTTTTTCTTTTTTTTTTTTTTTTTTATGAAAAACAATAAACATGTAGTAATGGTTTTTTGGCCAATAACTATTATTAATAGATGGTATGACAGTGTCATTTTATAGTTCATTATATATATATATATACTTTTGTATACGGGAGTTACACCTAAATGGATGTACATCAACTTGCACATATCACATTATATAAAATATTATATTTATAATTATAAACTATTGTATATACATGGTTGTGATCTTCTAAATAAAAAAATTATAATATCACTTGATATTATAAATTACAATTATAATTTGTTCGTGATATGATAGTTTTTTATTTAAAGAGTTATTTATAATATTATATGTATTAATTTATTTAATAATATATTGTAATTATAAATTTATAACATTATATATTATTATAATTATTTAATTTAAATTAATAATTAAAAATGTTTTTTTGGTTATTTAATGATAAACTATATTATCATAATATGTTGTGACATGATAGGGTTTTTGGGGATTTTGTACTATCTTTTGGTACAGTTTGATGTATTAGTTAAATGATTTGATTTTTTTTATTTATTTAAAATATGTATTATTGAAAACAACCATTTATTAAATAATATGTAAAAATTATATAAAAAAGTTTTATAAAAAAATTACCTTTATATCATTGCCTTATTATTATTATTATTTTTAACTTTTTTTCCTCTAAATCAAGGATAGGAAAATAATTCATATATTTATTTATATTATTTTTAAAATAAAAAATCAAATTAAATTTTTTGTAATAAAATAAATAATTAAAATAAATGAATAACAATAATATTAAAATAAAAAGTGTTTATTTATCTTAAAAAATTAATTTAAGATAAATTTAAAATTAATAAACATAATTATTTTAAAATAAAAAAATAATATTACTGTTTTTTTTATCAAATACCAAATAAAAAAACAGACATACACCCCGTAGTTGATAAAAGTGTTTGTCACTTGCCATTGGAAAGCATTTACAGTTTTGAATGTAAAAGTAAGTTTGTTTCCGTAAAAATCATTTAATTTTTCATAAGTTTTAGGAAGAGGGTTGTTTATTGAAATTATATAATAATTTCAAAGGATTTTTTTAATTTATACTCTTAAAGTATAAATTGAGGTACAAGTTAAGGGTATGTTTATTATATTTTTATTATTAATTTATATAAAAAATTAAAATTAACTTTACTTTTATCAGCCACCCTATCAAATTGTTTCATGCACTATTAGTGTAAAAAATGAATTTTATTTTCATGATTTTTATATAAACTAATATTCTGTTCATCCTAGAATAATAATAGACATTTTTTAATTTTATTTTCAAATTAAAGATTTGGGGAAAAAATTATTTTATTTTTTATCCTTAAAAAAATAAAAATAAGAAATTATTTTAATTAGAGAATGAATAATTAAAATTGAAAGATAATTATTAGGTTAAAATAAGAAAAAATTTATCACCTTTAAAATAAAAAAATGACTATTGTTTTGAATTAAATTCTAAATCAATAAAAGGTCAACTATTATTTTAGGATTGAAAGAGTAATAAAAAGGTACAATAAATATATCATTGACTTATACTTCAAATGAATATGTGAGAAAAAAACTCAATTTTAAATTTGGGATTGCAATTTTTTTGGTTGATATTTGTAAACACTGTTTTTTTTTTAATTTTAATTATTTTTTAATACTGTACCAAGTTGAATTATTGCTACTAATGTTGGTTTTTTTAATTGGCCATTAATTTGCCACTTTTGGATTAGAAGAAACAGATATTTTGGGAATAAAAATCACAATGTCCAGCCGACATCAATTTCTTTTTCAGGTATCAAATAAATTGTGTGATTTTCAATACTGTTTAGTTTATATTGTTATTATTGGAATATATAAAAAAAAGTATAGCTATTTTGCGTGGGTGTGGTTAATGCCACACCCAAACTCGTTAATGCCACACCCAAACTCGTTAATGTTACAGCTTATTGTTTATATGGACTATTTTACCTTTATAATTTATGTCTCTTTAAAATAATAAAATCATTGTTTCATTTAGAAATCTCCAGAACAAAAAAAAAAAAAAAGAAAAGGAAAACGAAATTGAATGGAGTCCACGCCATCGTGCGTCTCCCCAAAGGTAGAGATTAGCTTTGTTTCGCCCTCTTGTTTTTTTGGGACATGTTGTTTCTTCCTCTCTTAACCTCCATTTTTTTCACTTTTTGCCTCTACTGTAAATATCCTTTTGCCTTTTACTACATGTTTATCATTTTTCATAAAAAAATGTATAAGTTGATATACATCTCTTGAGCTGTATTTTTTTGACGGCGTGACATAATTGCTAACGACAAGAGTGGTAGACAGCAGTGTTGAGAGAATCGAATAACGTCTTTTCTCAAAACAATAACAACAAAAAATGTTCGTCACTTTATTCTTGGCAAAAACCCTCCTTAAACCCCTAAACTTGTCCCAAAATGACATTTAAATCTTTAAAATTAAAAAAAAAACGGATAAACCCTTCAATCTTATTAACGATACAAATAAACCATTCTTATTTGTAGGCATTCATGCTTTCAAAGTACTATTAAACATAAAATACCATTTGACGCTTTTGTAAAAATGACTTATTTATATCATTAGTAGAGTTAGAGGGTTTATCCGCTTGTGTTTCAATTTAGAGACTTAAATGCTATTTTGAGATAAATTTAGGGGCTTAAAAAGGGTTTTCACCTTTATTCTTCAACTTGTGCTTTCTTATTTCTGGGAGAGAGGAGATGACATTTGGCTAAGAATATTTTCGTCAGTCAAAAGAATATATCTCAGGAATTTGTTATAGGAATAATTCATCAGTGTCTAATACATCAATCTTATAATTTCTAAAAAGAATTAGCTTAGGAAAATACACAATAATCTCTTGTATTGGTTGGAAAAATTTTCAATGAAGAAATTAACCTTATTGCCTTGATCCTGCTCTGGTTTCCTTCTGTGTGTTCCGGGAATTTGATGATCCAAGGGGAGGAAAATCATCTGTCATATCGAGGAAGGAGCTGTTGTTTGTTGTTGTTGTGGTCTCGGGTTTATTCCTTACAAGTTTACTATTTTGATGCAGAGTTTGTTGGACCATGGATTTGAGAAAGGAAGACTGGACAACAGGCCTCTGATATTGATTCTGGCTCCATGTAGATGGGGACCTTATCATGGGAGAGATGACAAATGGCTGAATTCCGGACAACTCTGGATCAGGGGAAAACCTGTATGGGAGCTTGCTGTCATCCATTTTCCGGAATGTAACAGATATCCTATGCATTCAAAGCAGAAAAACAAAGTATCATGAGCATTAGAGTATCTAAAACAATGTTCTTTGAGGGAGAAAGAGAGATAGAGGAGAGGGATTCAATACCTTTTTGCTGGGACAGCCGGAACACAGTGCTTGGCAACATCAGCTCCATTACCCTTCAGAACGAGCACTGATCTGTATAGGAAGTCTTGAGTTAGGTTATGCAACTAATTTTAAAAAACTAATAATCAAATAGTATGAAGGAGTTTAGGAAGCATACCCCACAGGCAAAGGTATTGAGACTGGTCCTGAGAATTCTCCAGGACTCACAATCTTCAAATTTGTGCCAAAAAGTATGTTGCTCTCAGTCAAGAAGGAGACAGTGCAAAAAGGTCGATCAAAGTCATGGTGGTCGATGTGAGGAGGAATGCAATCTCCTTCATTGTATATATTCACAATGCAGCTGTTAGGAACACATGTTGGAGGCAGAACATGCCACCTGACCATCCTCTTGATCATTTGCTTGAACAACGGAGGTAAGGGATCAACTTCTTCATCTCTAATTATACCAGGAGGATTCCCATTCTTGTCCTACAAAGGTATAAAACTTGAAATCAATATCAGAGAAAAGAATGCCAAAAATTGAAGAGAAAAGATTAATAAGAATAAAAAATTACCACTGCGTAATTGTAACAGCAACCAAATTGTATTGTCACACGCCCTTTCCCACGCATCCATTTTCTAGGCTCTGAATAGGTACGCTCTGCAGACATAAAAGTAAAATGGGTCACTAAGATAGTCAAGGACAATTTTCAAGCAATTCAATGAATTTTAACAGCAAAACTATAAATCAACAATGTCCCTATTCTATACTGTCTTTTTATAAGCCTAAAACCTATTCATGTACTAACTACCATGAAGACTTAAAGAGCAATTTCCCTAATCATCAAGTTGGACATTTTGGCATGCTCCTTGCCTGGATGGTTTTAGTGCTGAATTTCTAAGGATGGTATCTGATCAAACACATCAAAAGTATCCCATAATGTGTTCACTTAATACCGACTGACATGGGCAAGTGCAGCCTCTAATTCAGGTAAATAAGTCACTATCTAGGATGGACAATATTCCAGATCAAAACATAAAACAAAAAAATTATGCATTCACATGTACTTTACCTCTAAGCTGCTGCTTCCGGCCCATTCTCTGTAGATCGTAGATACATTCCACAATCTTCTTTTGCTCCTCAGCATTGAAAACCCCAGTATGAAGCTCGAGTCCTTGAACCACATTAATGTTTTTCCCCTGTATCCTCTCCATATGAACAAAGTCCTTTTTCCTGCCAACTTGTGACAACCTCACCTGCTCCTTTTGCTCCTCTGACAATCCATTGCCAGTCACAGATGACACTTCACTGAGTCCATCATTCAGCATTATTTCAGAAGCTGACTGTGTGCTCACGGATTCAGGCGTCCTGGTCGAGTCCAAGGGCTCAGAAAGTTGTACGCGAGGCCACGGTACAGAACATTCTGAACCATTTAGGCTAGATAATGACTCTGCAGAACCTTGACTACCGTTGTCTGATAAACTCAATTCACTCACTTTTTCTGCAAATTAATAACACAAGTCTTAGTTTCAGACATTACAAACTTAAAACAAACAAATAGATAAATAAACAGAAAATAATTAAGAAAAAGAATTCCTTTTGTATAAGACATACATTAACATCATCAGGGAAATAACTATAATTAAGTTGAAATAAACAATAATGCACCAAATCCACTCAATTCAAAATCCTATCAATTTCCTAAGAAGTACTCTTTCATGTTTGGTTTGGATGAAAGGAAAATCGAAACGAGAAATTGAAAGAAAATAAATGGTAATCGGCATCTTACTGTTGGATGAAAATCCACGAATCCGTTTCTCCAACCGAGCTTCACAGTGCTGGCAAAACCCCTCGGCTAAAACCTCCAAAATCTCGTCGCGCGTCAAACCCTTCAGCAGCGCCAAGCTGCCGGCGCCGGATTGGGACAACTCTCCGGACGATTGTCCGTTCATTATTACAACTGCACCGTAAAGACTCAAAATTTATTCCGAAAAGAAAGTTCCTTACAACGACTGAACAAAACAGGGTTGGCGAAGAAAGTATGGAAGTGGAGACCGACCAGGGACGACTTTTATAACAGTGTGATGTGTGAAGGTCGGTTATTTTCTCCTGACCGGGAAAGTATAATAAGACTTGGAGTCGAACAATGGGAGTACTTTTAAGAAAGTCTAAGGAAAGTACTCAAACTTCTTGACTTCTGTCAATTGAGCCCTTTTAGTTTCTTGGTGTCAAATCAAACCAGCGGATTGACTTTCCTAAATCACTTGTAATTGTAGAATGTTCTATTATCTTTTTAAAATTTAGTTTTTCTAACCTATCTTTTTAAGGGTGTAATTAATATATTTTTTAATAATTAATTTATATTAAAAAAATAAATATTAATTTTTAATTTAACGATCAACTAATTAAAATCATACAAATGGTATTGTTACTAAAGTTAATATTAATTTTTACATTTTTA